GAGAGAGAATATCTTTTAGCAAAATCTGCTCTTATCATAATGAATATCTCATGCCCCTATTCCTTATCTTTTTTTCTATTTATCTAGGACATACCCCCAATAACTCCTAATAGTATAAGTACAAAGAATATCCAATGGAATATTCTCTTTAATACCATGCCCTAATAAACTAGCCGTTACAACTCTTTTTGTATTGCTCAACATCGACCATCTTTTGCATCTCGCTGTGATGACCCAAAATATCATCTTTAAATTTAATAATTAATTATGTGATCTAAGCACTATTTACCATTACTCAACTTGCGTGTGCAGTCCGTAAAAAATTTTCGGAAAGTTTTCAGGTGAAAAATGAATTAAAATGTGAATTAGAGCTTTAAAACTCAACTGAGTTGACTTTGGTCAACATTTTGAGCAAACGGACTCGGATCAGTATTTTAATAGTTTTGGTAGGTCCGTATCGTGATTTGGGACTTAGGCGTATGCCCGAAATCAAATTCCGAGGTCACTAGCCCGAGATATGAAATTTTGATAAAAAATTAAAAGTTTAAGTTCAAATAGTGATCGGATGCCAAATTATGTGCAAACGACCCCAAAATAGAATTTTAATGATTCCAACAGCTCCGTATGGTGATTTTGGACTTAGGAGCGTGATAGGAATTTTATTTGAAAGTCCGTAGTGGAATTAGGCTTGAAATACCGAAAGTTGAATTTTTGGGAAGTTTGACCGAGGGGTTGACTTTTTGATATCGGGGTCGAAATCCGATTCTGAAAATTTTCATAGCTCATTTATGTCATTTATGACTTGTGTGCAAAATTTGAAGTCATTCCGAATTGATTTGATGTGTTTCGACACAAGATATAGAATTTGAAAGTTTAAAGTTCGTTGATTTTGATTTGAGGTGTGATTCGTCGTTTTGATGTTGTTTGATATAGTTTGAAGCCTCAAATAAGTTCGTATGGTATTTTGGGACATGTTAGAATAATTGGTTAAGGTCCCAAGGTTCTTGGGTGGATTTCGGAAGGTAAACGGAATGGATTCCGGACAAAGAGTGCTGGAAATTTCTGTTGCAGAAATTTCGTGCATTGAGCCAACTTTGGAAGCTTATATCTCGCAATTCATAAGGAATCAGAACATTTTTAAAACATGAAAGTTGTAGTAGTTTGATTATAGTTTCTAGAAAGTTAAACCATTTATTATTTGGACATTTGTACAGAAAGTTATGACGGATTGAATGAAGGCTGGTAGAGCAGTTTCGCCAGAAATTTCTGATGCATGGAGCCGATTTTGGAAGCTTAAATCTAGCAATTCATAAGGAATCAGAACATTTTCAAAACATAAAAATTGTAGTAGTTAGATTATAGTTTCCAGAAAGTTAAACCATTTATCATTTGGACATTTTTACATAAAGTTATGATCAATTGAAAGAAGGCTGGTAGAGCAGTTTCTGGTGGACTTTTAGTGACGAAAAATAGACTTTTAGTGACGGATTGGCAGGACTTTAAGTGTTCCTTATCCTATATTGATTATATTTCATAATTCTATACTCAAACCATTTATTATTTGGACATTTGTACAGAAAGTTATGACGGATTGAATGAAGGCTGGTAGAGCAGTTTCGCAGAAATTTCTGATGCGTGGAGCCGATTTTGGAAGCTTATATCTCGCAATTCATAAGGAATCAGAATATTTTCAAAACATAAAAATTGTAGTAGTTGGATTATAGTTTCCAAAAAGTTAAACCATTTATCATTTGGATATTTGTACATGAAGTTATGATCAATTGAAGGAAGGCTGGTAGAGCAGTTTCTGGTGGACTTTTAGTGACGAAAAATAGACTTTTAGTGACGGATTGGCAGGACTTTAAGTGTTCCTTATCCTATATTGATTATATTTCAT